AACAACAACCAGTATATTACAGGGAATTTGACAGAGCAAAAATTTAGGAAGCAGCTATGAGCAACAAATTCTGGGACTGATTATTTTTGAGTAGATGGTGTTAGGACATGATTGGGAACCACTACACTGGCTTCCTCTACCAAAAAAAAAAAAAAAACAAAACAAACTTTGATGAAAACAGATTAATTTCCAAATGAACTGGCCATTTCTAAAGTTTTAGGATTTGGTATCTGCCTTTCAATAGTACACACCAACTTACTTTTCACTAAATTCCTACTTAACAGCTGCAGACACTTTAAAGTTCAGCTCATTGTTATGTTTTATGATATGATAAACAGAAAAGGCCTGTAAGGATAGATGGGTTTTCTTACATACAAAATACACTGATACATTAAAATCCTTTTTCTTGTTTGCTTCTCTTGTTTTTGTTTTTACCTGTCCTCTGAGGCAGTTGGGCGAGCACATGTTTGTAGTGGAGTGTGTATTTCATTGGAGCTAAAGGTGTCTGACAGGAGGTCAGCTCCTTCAAGCTCCCCGCAACAGCAGGACTTTCCCCGAATTACCTCCATACTTCTTGACTAAAATGGTACCGATCTGGAAAAGAAAAGGAGGGCACACTTGGTTTGGGACTCAACCGACTGGATCACTACCACACTAACCCTCTCTCAGGGCAGGCAGGAAAGACACTTTGTCCTGCTGAACTGTTCAAGCCACTGCAGCACAGATCTGAGGCTTCCTTCCTCATCAAACGTCTGCAACGGACTGGACTCTCAGAGATCACTGCAGGAACAAAGCAATTTAACGAACTTCTTTGAAAATGAATTTCAACTGAAACAACTCCATAAAATGGAAGATGTTTTTAAATAGACTTTTAGTTCTCTACATGGACAACCTGTTAGTCCATGCAAGTGCGATACTTCGCAGACATCAAGTGAATTCAACTTTTGACTCAAAGTTACCAGTAAACTATTTAAGAAAACTTAGCCGATATCCAACGCCCCCCCCCCCATGGCCTTTCTAACAAGCAAAGTGATTCATCATCCAACAGAATCAAGAGCTATGCTTCTAAAAGGCTCCGGGAATTATGAACAAGAATCCCATTACAGAGTGGCTGGACCCCAAAGGGGATTCCTGGGTCCCGATAGAGGGTGAGAATCCCCCTCCTCCCTCGGACGTGGTGGGAGGCGCCGCAGCGAGGACCACAGGCCCAGAAAGGTGGGACCGAGCATTCTGGGCCATCATTGCCCTGCTAGTCGGTGCCAGAGAGCTTCGACGCACCTGGGGCATCAGTCTGGAAGCGGCACGTGACCTCGCCTCCTTTTCCCCTCTTCTGAGATGACAGGCCTCCGCGGGGCGTGGAATTCGGCCGATGTCCGCACCTGCGGCCCCCGGGAGCTTGCGGGCAGGTGCGGGTAAGGGAGAGAGAAGAAACGCGCACCGGCCGGGGGTGGGGTTCAGGGTGCCTGTGACGGCGACCGTGACCGTGGCACAATGCATCCTTGCGCGGAGAGGCAGGCTTCGGGGTGGAGGGCAAGAGAGCGGCGTATGTCCCTTAAGGGCCTCGGAGGGAGCCAGCCCAGGAGCTCCAGGGCGGGGAAGTAGCCGGAGAGGGACAGGAAGCGAGCAGGGAGGGTGAAACTCCAGTCCAAAGGCGAAAATACTATTCTATTACTCGGGTCTGTTCGCCCCGCCCCCAGCTCCTTGCTGCGCTCCCGGGCTCCCTCTGGTGGCCACGACTGCCTCAATTTCTCCTTCCAGGTGCCTGTACTAGCTAGCTGTATGGGAAGGGGGTAGGGTCTTCTTTGCACGAGTGGAGGAAGATCCTGCTGGACACAGATGTGTGAATTGGGTGATATTTGCTTCATCTTTGACACCTCTATACATATCTCTCTCTCTTTTTTTTTTTCAATTTTCCTTTCGAAGTCCACCCTAATTTTTTTGTCGTTTTGCTGCTCCTGGGTGATCAGGATCTCCCATTAACACTCCCCCCGCCCCCGATTAAATTCCCTGTCAGCCCAGGTCATTTCATGTTCCTATCCCTTCAGTACTTCCATGCTCCACCTGTCCCCATGCTCGACTTTAGTCCCATTCCTCATGGTTTGTTTCTTCCTGGGAGGTAATACCTAGATTTAATCAGAGCATCGAATGAAGCTTCTGTACAGCCCGTATGTTAGTATGTCCCTGAATGGTGGTGACAGCTGGGGAAGTTTGGCAACCCAGGCTTAAATGAGCATGGTGTGTGGCCATAGCTTCCAGGTCCTGGTGAGTTTGAGATTTTATTTTGCATCAAATGAATGTAAAACCAAAGCCCACTGCCACTGAATGGATTCAGAGTCATAGCAACCCTATAGGACAAAATAGAACTGCCCCATAGGCTAAGACACTTGACTGCTAACCAGAAGGCTGGCGGTTCAAACCCGCCAGCCACTCCTCGGAAGGAAGGTTGGGCAATCCTACTTCCGTAGTGATACTGCCTCGGAAACCCAAGGAGGGGTCGCTATGAGTCAGGGCTGACTCGACGGCACATAACAACAACAACAACAACATAGGGTTACCAAAGCTTAATCTTTACCGAAGTAGACTGCCTCATCTTTCTCCTGAGGAGCGGTTGATAGGTTGGAAGTACCAACGTTTTGGTTAGCGGCTGAATGCTTTAACCACTGTGCCACCAGAGCTCCTTAATGAATGTAAAGGGTAGGGAAATTAATTTTTCCTTTGTCATTTTTCAAATCTGCTGCAAAAGACTTTTTTTAAAGTGTTAAAATGCAAAGATGTCACTTTGAGGACTAAGGTGTGTCTGACCCAAGCCATGGTATTTTCAGTTGCTTCATATGCATGTTAAAGCTAGGCATTGAATAAGGAAGACAAAGAATTGATGCATGGGAGTTATGGTGTTGGTGAAGAATGTTGAATATACCATGGATTACAGAAGAAAAAATAAATCCGTCTTGGAAGAAGTACAGCCTGAATGCTCCTTGGAAGTGAGGATGGCAAGACTTCATGTCATGTACTTTAGACATATTATCAGGAGGGACCAGACCCTGGAGAAGGACATGGTGCTTGGTGAAGTAGAGGACTGGTGAAAAAGAGAAAGACTCTTCAATGAGATGGAATGACTCAGTGGCTACAACAACAGGCTCAAACATAGCAATGATTGTGATGATGGTGTACACCTGGGCAGTGTTTCTTTCTGTTGTACATAGCATCACTATCGGTCAGAACCACACAATGGCATCTGACAACCACAACATTTTTCAAATGAACCTTACAGGCCAGAGAAGAATCATTGTCAGATCTATGTAAAACAATTGCTCTATTTGAAAAATGGCTCTCCATTCTAAAGGATCTCTGGGATGTCAAGATTGGGCCTATTTGTTTCACCAACACTCCTTATCCTTAGCTTTTGTTGACTCCCAGCAGGTGATGTGTATGTGACCTTAACAACACAAAGTGGCCTTCTACACTAAACCAATACAAAACTCACTGCCATTGAGTTGATTACAACTCATAGTGACTCCCTTCGGGTTTCCGAGGTGGTACATCTTTAAGGAAGTAGATTGATCAGTTTTCCTTCTGCAGAGTGGCTGGTGGGTTTGACTGGTTAGCAGTCAAATGTCTTGGGCACTATGCCACGAGGATGCTCAAAATGATGGACTTCTTAAGTATATCATATCCAGTGGGGTCAGTTGCCACAGAACACCTTCTTTTCACTTCTGACATGTTGACCTTTTTTTTTCATTACCTCATTTACATTTTGCATCACTAGTAATCCCTCAAGCAGGGGAGATTTGGGCATGAGAAAGAATGTGGGCATGGGATGTTTACTGAGGCTGGATTGACAAAAATTCTATATCACAGCTAGGGCTTTCACCTTCAAATGAAGGATATGCAGATAATTTTAGAACTGTAAAGCATGAATTACACTCTATAATTTTTCTTTTAAGTTTGTGTACCATGACCTATAACCAGGTAGTCTTTGAAAATAAATAGTTTTTGAGGCACTCAGTTCTTCTTGGCAGTTACCAGTACTTTTTAAATGAAAAATTTTGGGGTCTGATTCCTTTCATGAAAGATGAAATGGCAAGTCACTTTCAGTGACTTTAAAGTGTGCATTTTTTTTTTAGCACATGGCAAAACTTAAAACCTCATTGATTCTAGTGTTTCTATTTACTTACTATGATGACCATTAAAACATATTCTACTGGCTTTAAGTTGAACCTGTGGGCTCGGGACCATAGTCACAGGGGGCATCAAGCTCAATTGGCATAACATACCATACAAAACATTTTTCTACCTCCTACTTTGGCAAGTAGCAACTGGGATCTTAAAAGCTTGCAAGCAGCCATCTAGATGCAACAATGGGTCTCTTCTGGTCCAGAGCAAAGAAGAATGAAGAAAACCAAAGATTCTTGGAAACAATTAGTCCTAGTGACTGGTACAGCATGCGATCCGCAGCCTATACAACTATGAGACCAGAAGAACTAGATGGTTCCCAGCTACCACTGTTGACCACTTGGAGGGGGATATATGTAGGAGATCCTGGATAGAGAGGGAGAACAATGTGGAACAAAACTCAAAATCATTTGGAGAAAAAAAAAAATTGGGGACCAGATTTGCTGGTCTGATAAAGCCTGGGAGAACCACTGAGAACTATGGCCCCTAACTGCCCTCAGGTCTGGAATTGAACCCACTCTTGTGGCTTCCACCCAGCCAAAAGACAAGCATTTGAGCTGAACATTTGCACTAGGTAGATACACTCCTTGGAGAGAACAATCATGGGTGAAAGAAGGGCTGTTTATGCACAGAGAGACAGCTCAGGGGGCAGGAGTGCATGGAGGGATAGACACAGGGAAGAGTTAACTATTGGGAGGAAGTGGGAGGGGAGCTGTTGCATTGTGGCAAATTGTAGTCAATGTCATGAGACAAAGTGTATGTGACCTGCTGTATGGAAAGTGAATTTGCTCTAAATTTTCCCTCAAATCAAAATTAAAAACAAACAAACAAACATATTCTACTGGCTTTAAAATTAAACTGCAAATGAATTAAATGATATTTTAGTATTAAAATTAAAATTTTGGCTTGAGTAACTTAAGGGACTATGTCATCATTTAGTAATGAACATTGAAATGACATGGATACATACATTTAAAAAACATGATTTGTACATAGTCCCTAGCTGCGTAAAATGTGTCAGAGATTGTTCCAGGAGGAGGGAAACATGAGGCACTTATGGGGATTTGGGGCAGTGAGCAGTCATAATCCAATGAGGTAAGTGCTAGTTGAGGGGCAAGCACAGTTGTTTCAGGAGCCATGTGTACCTTATGAAGCCTCTTCCATTGTGACAGGAGGAAAAAAAGAACAAGGATGGGAGGCATTTCAGGTTAACTTCTAAACCGGGGAAGGGAATGGTTCAGGAAGTTGACAAAGGGAAAGCAGAATTCATATCCTTTGTTGAAACTGAAGAAAGAGATGTTGGGATGGAAGGCATGCATAGTGGAGAAGGTCGGAAATAATTGCTATGGGGAAGGAAAATGCTTTTCATAGAAAATAATAAATACCACTTACATAG